GATGATAACCACTCTGACAGGTGTGAAGTGATATCTCATTGTGGTTTTAATTTGCACTTATCTGATGATTAGTGATGTTGAGCATCTTTTCATATATCTCTTGGCCATCTGTATATCCTCTTTGGAGAAGTGTCTATTCAGGTCCTCTGCCCATTTTTTAATTGAATTGTTTGCTTTGAGCAGTATGAGTTCTTTATAAATTTTGAATATTAACCCCTTATCAGATATATCATTGGCAAATATCTTCTCCCATTCAAGAGGTTGTCTTCATTTTGTTGATGGTTTCCTTTGCTGTGCAAAACTTTTTTAGTTTGATATAGTCCCATTTATTTATTTTTTCTTTTTTGTCCCCTGCCCAAGGAGATATATCAAAAAAATTTCCAAGAGAAATGTCAGAGATTTTACTGCCTTTGTTTTCTTCTAGGAGTTTCATGGATTTGAGTCTAACATTTTAAGTCTTTAATCCATTTAGAGTTTATTCTTGTATGTGGTGTAAGAAGGTAGTCTAGTTTCTTTTTCCCCCCTTTTTTTAGCATGTGTCTATCCAATTTTCCCAGCACCATTTATTGCATAGATTGTCTTTACCCCAATGTTTGTTCTTGCCTCCTTTGCCAAATATTAATTGACCATGTAAGCACAGGTTTATTTTGGGGCTCTGTAGTCTGTTCCATTGACCTATATGTCGGTTTTTATGTCAGTACCATGCTGTTTTGGTTACTATAGCCTTGTAGTATAGATTGATACTAGGAAGCATGATACCTCCAACTTTGTGTTTCTTTTGTAAGATTGCTGAAGCTATTTGGTCTTTTGTGGTTCCATACAAATTTTTGGATTATTTGTTCTAGTTCTGGGAAATATGCCATTGACATTTTGGTAGGAATTAAGTTGAATCTATAGATTACTTTGAGAAGTATGGACATTTTCATGATGTTAATTCTTCTTATCCATGAATATAGTATATGCTTCCATTTATTTGTATCTTCTTCAATTTCTTCAGTATCTTATAATTTTCTGAGTATAGGTCTTTTACATCCTGGAGAATCTCTGATATTATTAACTCAAAAGTCTGCATGTGCAGGTGAGATGGGGATGGATGGGCAGGAGGTATAATTCATAGCCCACAGAGTAAGAGAAACTTGAGGAACTCTATGTGGAAATGGACAGAGGCTGCCTGCAGGGTCGGGGAACCAAGGTAATTTCCCACCCTCAATTCCCTGGCCTTCTGGGTGGGACCCAGTGGTCTCTGGGTGCCCCCCCCCCCTCACCTGCCTGGTTCTGCTGGTGAAAGCTCGATGACCACTGGGCCCCAAATCTTCTCACCTGGCAATGTTCTCCTCTTTTTATCTTCACTCATTTAAACAAACAAACACTGTAAGAGTGAAGAATATTTAGTAGAAAGCTTGAGTTAAAGATAATTTTGAAAGCAGTACGTTTTGGCCACAGTTGGGGTCTCCTTACCAACAAGCCTTATCAGGGCAGCCAGGAGGTCTGGCTCCTGAAAGGACCTGCCTTCCTTCCCCAAGAAAGTCTCATTTTAATCTAACGGTGAGTGGTTTGGAATCCATGCAAAAGCATGATTATCCATGCATAGTTAGATTATGGAATTCCTATGCAAGACTATAGTCCTACCTCATTGGTAAGGTTCAGCTTCCCTTTCTCTAGGAGCCCTTCTGTAACTCTTTCACTCAACAGGGATCTAAGTGTCCTCTGAGCTCCTGCAGCCCTGACAACTCAAATCACAGTCTCCAGTGCCTGAGTGACAGTCTTCCTATCTCTGAAACCATGGGATAAGCTCCGTCTCCTTCTCAAGGTCCTGTTTTATCCCCTGGTCTCCAAGCTGGAGGGCTTGTTCCTTGGAGTGGAGCCCATACCCTTGTTGTCCCTGGTGGCCCAGTGGGTTCTTGGGCTGCAGGGCTCACGCTCTCTAAGGGCTCAGTAGTTTGACTTGGACATGTGCTGCTTTAAGGGCCTCTCCTATCAAAGCACTCAAACCAAGTAAGGAACAGAGAGATGAAAGAGATAGATGAAGGCCTTGGCAGGGAAGCTCAGTTGGTTAGAGCATTGTCCCAATACCCCAAGGTTGTGGGTTTGATTCCCTGTCAGGGCACATACAAGAATCAACCAATGAATGCATAAATAAGTGGAACAACATACTGATGTTTCTCTCCCTTCCTCTAAAATCAATAAATTTAAAAAAATTTAGGCCCAGCCAGTGTTGCTCAGTGGTTGAGTGTTGACCCATGAACCTGGAGGTCATGGGTCAATTCCAGGGCAGGGCTCATGCCCAGGGTGCAGGCTTGATCCCCAGTAAGGGGCATGCAGGAGACAGCCGATCCATGATTCTCTCTCATCACTGATGTTTCTATCTTTCTCTCCCTCTTCCTTCCTCTCTCTGAAATCAATAAAAACATATTTTTAAAAAAATTTAGAAAGAGATAGGCGGAATCTACCACACAAAAATTAAACATAAGTATAGCAATAATACTAGACAAAACTAAAAGGCAAATGACTAACTGGGGGAAATATTTGCAAAAATGATAAACCAAGGATTAATATTCTCAATAAAGAATTTACATAAGTCCCCTTGGTCAGTGTGGCTCAGTTAGTTGGAGTGTCATCCCATGCACCAAAGGGTCACAGGTTTGGTTCTCAACAGGGCACATACCTAGGTTGTGGGTTAGGTCTCCGGTTGGGATGCATACAGGAGGCAAACAATGGAGGTTTCTCTCTCTCTCTCCCCCCCCTTCCTCTCTTTCTCTCTCTAAAATCAATAAACATTGAAAGGTGAGGATTGGAAAAAAAAAAAGAATTTATACAAATCAATAAGAAAAACATGAAGATCCTTATAGACAATTCACATCTCAACGGTTAATAAATATTTGGGGAAAAATTGTTCAACCTACCAGTAAGTAGAAATGGAAATTAAAACAATATATTCTCACCTATCAAATAGGCAAAAAATGAGAAAAAGGTAATATCCAGTGTAGGGCTTGGGTATAAGGACATGGGCACCCTGATACAGTGCTGAGGCCGTGTCAATTTGTATAGCATCTGGGAAGCATTTGGAAGTGGGTCTAAAGAGCCTGAGAAATGTTCATTCTCAATCCACTAATTTCACTTCTGAGAATCTATCTTAGGAATGGACAGTGACATGGGGAATTTCTCATGAAATCATGTTAAGCATCAAAAATAGGGTATACAGATTATATAATATATAATCCCTCTCACATAAATTATATATTTATGCATAAATGTATTTTGGGGTGACTTGGGGGAATATTTTTCTTATGGGTGATTTTGGTGATCATATTTCTGTATTTTATATTTATATACTTTCTATAATGAGCATTAAAAAAAAACCAAGGAGGGAAAAACCTCCTTGAAATGTGAAATGATGGAGCCAAATAAATTCCAAATTAACTTTGGGAGTTAAAGGGTAAAATCACTAGTACAATCTGTCACTTTGCAAGATTCAAGAAATACATGTTGATGTGTATATCAAAACTCTGTAAGATTGAGACAGAGGTCACCAGGTCGCATGGCTGTGACATTGGGTGCAGCCTGTTCCCTGCTAGGTCTCAGTTTCCTAATCTGTACAATGGTATGGTGGGAGGGGGTTAGACTAAATAATCTCTGGCAGATTTCTGCTGAGTACTTAACTATTTGCTTTTTTATTTTTTTAAAACATATCTTTATTGATTTCAGAGAGAGGAAAGGAGAGGGAGAGAGAGAGATAGAAACATCAATGATGAGAGAGTCATTGATCGGCTGCCTAGCCCGCAACCCAGGCATGTGCCCTGACTGGGAATCGAACCCGATCTCCTGGATCCTAGGTCGATGCTCAACCGCTGACCCACGCCCGGCCAGGCACTATTTGTTTTTTTAAATCCTCACCTGAGGATATGTTTTTATTGATTTTTAGAGAGAGAGAGAAACATTGATGTGAGAGAGAAGCATGGATTGGTTGCCTCTGGTATGAGCCTTGACCAGGGATAGAGCCCACAGCTTAGGTATGTGCCCTGACCAGGAATGGAACCCACAGCCTTTTGGCCACTGGGCTGTAACCATCCTTGCCGGAGTCATGGAGCTGAGAGTGACAAAGTACTGGGATTTGCAGGCTCCAGGTTCCAGCTCCTTGTCATCTGAGAGACCACTGGGCAGAACTTTGTTACCCCCCACCACAGTGTCTTGCCTAACCCTCTCTTCCCATCAGCCCCTGGGCCCACCCAGCTGGGGGCTAGTTTGACTGCTCAGCCTTTATTGATTTCAAGCCTGTCTTCCCTAGAGGGGCAGAAAGCAGGTAACCCTATTGTTTGGAGCCATTTAGTGGAGGCATGAACTCAAAGGCCAGTGAAGAGCCAGCCCCCTCTGCCCAAGAAGAGGGTGTCTCCTTCCAGGACCTTCTCTCTGGACATTTTTGAGATGGCTTGGCTCTCAGGCTGAGCTACCCTGACCAAAGAAAACCAATGATGACTTCCTGGTGTGGGGTAGCCCCTTTCCTCCCAGCCCACACTTACCTGTAGGTTAACGGGAGTCCACTTCCACACCACCAGCCGCATTAGCTCCTCAGCTTTGATAAAGCCTCCTGTGCTCAGCGGCCTTTCCCAGAACCCAACAGTTTACAGTAATGCTGCCTAGGCCCCTCCGAAACGTGCTTTCAGCCTTGAGCGAGTCTCAGAGTCCTCCTTCCCAGTGTGCCGCCTTAAGGATGAGGCCAGAGGCCTAACTGCCTGGTGCTCAGATGAGGTAGATTAATTTTCTTCTGGCCCAGTAAGCAACTAAGCTTCTGGCTTCTAGGAAAGACAGCTAGTAAGACTCCCACCTCCGTCAACAGCCCAGAATCTCTGCCTAAGCTGCTGCCTCCAGGCTGCAATGTCTTCAGCCTCACCCTAAATAGTCTTGGGTGGCAGGCAGAGGCAGCTGCCCTGGGTATGGTGGAGCTGATAGGGAAAGGTGTCCCCATAAAGCTCCCTTCCTGATGTGGGCCTTTTTCTTCTTAGCAACCAACAGATTCATGGGAAGACAACTTCTCTGAAGAGCCCCTTGTTCTCCACAGAGAAACTAGACAGGGTTCAGACACCCCTGGACTCCAGGTGAGCCCCCCCCCCAGTCAGATATGCATATGGATTGGAGGTGGGAAGCCCTCAGGAGGTGACCTGTTAGAAATGGGACCGTAAGCCTCTTCCTTCTGGGAGCAGGCCTTTGCCTTTGCCTTTCCCTTCCCTTCCCCTGCCCTTTCCCCTCAAGCACATTACCTTTAGCTTCCTCACTCCCAAGCCCCAAAGGCCCTACCTTTGCCTCATTAGCATTAGCTTCCTCACTCCCAAGCTCCAAGGGCCCTTCCTTTGCCTCTATAACTTGTTTCCTAAGCCCACTTCTTCTAAGAATTGCTTCTTCCACCTTTGTGATTTAACAGAATTAATGTTCTCTTATAGTTCAGGTCTTGGCTCTGAATTCTATCCTAGCCAGAACCCAAGTACCAAGGTTACTGAACCCAGGTCTGGTCTTGACCCTCCCCCACCCCACACACACACCAAAAAAAAAAAGAAAAGAAAAAGAAATGGGACTGTAAGGCTGAGACAAGATGTTAGGGCTAGCATTGGCTGCCCAGGGCCTCTTCCTCCCACTCCCAGGCCTGACCCAGTGCACTGGGACCTAGCAGAGTCCTGGCATCTCAGGTTACTAGCCTCCTCCCCTGCCCACCTGTCCTCAGGCCAACTTGGCTAGGACAAAGGTTTGCATTTCAGCACCACCCCATTTCCCCCAGCCTGGGTAGCTTGGTAGCCTCTGCCAGGTCAGGTGAGTCTGCTGAACTCACTGCAGAGCTCCAGGCTACCAGGAGGAGGCTGCTAGGAGGCAGTCCTGCCGGGATCATGGCCCATGGTCAGGCCCCGGAGCTGTGAGTCTGACACCTCAATCTCACCCATTCCCCAAGCTGGTCCTCATCCCTGTGCCTCCTGCTCATTTATTCTTGGGTTTGCTCCTCTGCTTACCCCTTGGCCAGAGAAATAGGAAAGGGTTTTTGACACCCAGAGGTAGACAGCTGCTAAGCATCTCTGGGAGATCTAAGCTTAGGCTAGGCAAATCTCCTGGGCAGGGGGTGGGGAGCACTTCTCACAGCTGTCCGGGAGGAGGGGTCGCTGAGCTGCCTTCATGGGAACCCTCTGTGCATCCAGGAGTGTCCTTCACCAGGGCGGAGCTATTTGCTTGCTGTGCTTATCACTGTGCTGTGGCCTCTAGAGGACCCCTCTCCAATCTCTGCCCCAAGTGTCTGGCTTGAAGCCAGGGCAGAATTGGCACTGAGGATGCATGGGTAAGACTCAAGGGTTCCTTGTCCCTGGAATGGAATGTCTCCTTTGCAGTCTGCACTGGCCAGAAGGCTTGAAGGGTGAAGAGATAAAGAAGTACAGTCGAGAAGGGGTAAGTAAGTGTGTGGAGGCTGACTTCTCGCTGCCCAGCAAGGGAGGGGCCCTGGGCTGCCTGAATTCAGTGACTGCTGGTTCCTTGGCCACCAGGAAACCTGAGTGGTGTCCCTCCTGGGTGGGAGTGGTGCGTCCCTCTCCAGTCATAGGCTGCCTAGCAGGACCCAACATTACCAGGAGAAAAGCTATGCTTGGAACTCAGCCCTCTACACCCACTGGCTACTTACTGGCGGCTTCATGCTTAGTCCCCAGGGGGCCCTGTGGCATTATTTCCTGGTGGCTGGAGCAGGGTCCCTTTGGTGCTGTGATCTCCCAGGACTTCTCAGCCCCAGTCCCTGTGTTTGCAGACACTACTAAGTAAATACAACCAGCAATACCACAAGCTGTTCAAAGACATCCCCTTGGAGGAGGTGGTTCTCAAAGGTGAGCTGTCTCCCTGGCATGCCTGGACAGGTGCCTGTAGTGCCTGAGGCCCAGGCACTGTCCTCACAATTCAGAAATGGGAATTGGTTGCTCTTTGGATGTGGTTGGTTATTTTTTCTTCAAAAGTGAGGAGACTAGGCTGGTTTGGGATATGAAGTTGAATTTATGAAAGTTTTCTTGAGGGAACTTCAGGGCTTCCAAATTTTATTTCTGTTCTGTTCTTATCAGTGACTATTCTTTGCTGCTCAGGCCTCTCACTGAGCATGTGGGAGCATTGGCACAATCAGGGTCCTCTAGCAGGTAGGGAAGGGCAGGGTGGGGCAGGGCATTCTGCCTGAGGGAGTGAGAATCCGGGCTTGGGGGACCAGGGCAGAAACCTGCTGGACCCTTTGGGGTATGGATGGAGAAAGAGGAAACATTTAGCAGTCTGCTGGGGGGAGGGGAGGGCAGTCAGGACTCAGGAAAGGACCCTTGGGGTACTGGAGGATGGGTTGTTTGGGAAGTGGGGTTCTGAGGAAGACAGAATCCTGAGCGCTGGACTCTGGACTCTTTAGTGTGAGGACCCAGGCCCTGGGGCTTCCCAACAGACCTTGCTCATGGTAGCCTTCTCTCCTGTGACTTTCCAGTGTGTTCCTGTGCCCTTCAGAGGGACCTCCTTCTCCAGGGCCGGCTCTATATCTCCCCCAACTGGCTCTGCTTCCATGCCAGCCTCTTTGGCAAGGATATCAAGGTAGTAATGAGTGGTAAGGATTGCCATAGTCTGGTGAGGTCCCAGCCTCAGCCCAGGGAAGAGAGAGGCCCCTGCCCTGAAGGCATGTGTTGAGTCACACCCTGCAGGCTGGCACAAGGCCCCTCACTGGTTGGATGAACAGCTGTGAGGCATCCCACCTGATGTCAGTGCAGATCCTTCCAAAATAGGGGCTCCAAATCTAGACTCTATCGGGCCTGAGTTGGCCTGAATTGTTATTCTGCCTCTGAAATGCCTTTAGAATCAGAGTAGAATGTCACACTTAGGGGGAGCCATGGGTGTGGTCAGGAAATAGCTCAGGGAACTCCATTACTAGAGTATGGGATTCAACAGAGCAGTCATCGTTGGCCTCCTGGGTGAGAGGGTGACAGCCTGGAGTGACATGTGCTGCCCATGCTGGGCATGGTGGGGGTAAATGGAAGGAGAAGCTGCATGAGAAGGGGAAGGTTCACATACTCTCCCACATGGGGCCAGGCTTCTCCATAGTGCTTATGTTTGGCTCACTTGGAGCTGGGGCTGGGGCCCTGTTCTGGAAGCAAAGGGACAGTGTCCTTAGGACAGTGCCTCTCTTCCCTCAGGTGGTCATTCCTGTGGTGTCTGTGCAAATGGTCAAAAAACACAAGATGGCACGGCTCCTTCCCAATGGCCTGGCCATCACCACCAACACTAGCCAGAAGGTCAGTGAGTCTCTAAGTCACATTCTCTTGTCAGTCCCCCCATCCCAGCCCCAGAAGCCCATAGCCCGACTCTGGCACAATCCCAAGTCTTTACTCACCCCACCCCTTTGTTTTCTTTCCATGTCCCAGTATGTTTTTGTGTCATTGCTCTCCCGGGACAGTGTATATGACATGCTGAGGAGGGTCTGCACTCACCTACAGGTATGGAGCTCAGGGGCAGGAGTCAGGCCAGGGAGGCTGCTAAGCCTGGACTGAGGTTTTGGGACAAGGCTTTAGGGAGGTTAGCCCATTTCTTCAGCACAGGGAACAGGGGCAGCGAGAGGTAACAGTCTCAGGCTAAGTGTATCAGAGGTAGTCCTTGGACTGTGTGTCTGTATTTGCGAACATGTCTCTTTGAGGCTAGTAGGCCTTCATATGTCCCCATGTAGATGCCCTCACTTGTGCTTCCTCAGGGTACAGACAGACAGGAGCACGGGGCTGCTTCCCAGGATGCCTATAACTCTTTCTGGCCTATGGTGAGGAAGGGGGAGGGGCAGCCGCCGCAGGGGAGAATAGGTTGCCTTGGACTTGCCCCTCCACTCGAGCATTAAACAGGGCATCCCTGCAAACTCTGGGAGCGAGGCTCCATCTGATCCAAAATGGAGGGAGCGCCTCCCCGTGCCTGACCTTGGCTGTTCCAGAAGGACAAGTAACCCCTGTTCCCTTTCCTCCTCAGCCTTCCAGCAAGAAGAGTCTGAGTGTAAGAGAATTTTCAGAGGAACCTGAGTGCGAGTCTCTGGTGAGAGCTGAGGCTGGGAGCAAAAGCTGCTGGCTTGAGATTTCTTGTGGCTCTAAGACTTCAGGGCCTCTCAGGCAGTGGCCCACAATGTAGAACTAAGGCATCAGGCTCAAGAGCCAGTGGCTATGCTGTGGCAGGGTGTCTCTTAGACCTGCCACATTCCATACCATGCAGAGCCACCAGGTCCTAGGCAGATTTGCTGACTTTATGAGCAGAACAGATGTCTAGCCCTCAGAACACTGTCCAGGTCGGATCCCACACCTGTACAGGCACAGAGCCAGTGACCCATCCTCTTTCTTTCAGCAAAGTCAGGAGGGCCTCTAAGAGGATAGAGGTATCCCTGGGGAAGAACTTCAAAGGCTATTAATGTAGAACACAGACAGGTTCATTTTAGATTTGCTGAGATCCCAGCAGTTTCCTTTGGTAGCTGGGCTTCTGGGCAAGCAGAGCTGAGTTTCTAGAGTAGGGATGGGGGTGAAAATGGCCCCAAGGTGTTTGAAGCCTCCTTCAGTAACTATAGCAGTCAGCCAAGCATGCAGTATGCACAATACCACACAGGGAGAGAGAAGGTGATGTTCCCATTTTTGTTGATGGGAACCATAAGTGCTCACTGCCAAGACTGGTGACGTGCTTAGGCTTAGAGCCCAGATTAGAAGATGTCATGGCTTATCCCATCTAAGAGAGGTTGTGCTGGGCTTTCTGAGCAGCTGGTCTGAGCATATGCTTGGACGTCTGGGCCTCACATCTTGAACTTCCACTAGTAGTCTTCAGAGGCATTGTTCCCTAAAAGATAGCTGGTCCCAGTGTGGGGACAGATAGGAGACACGTGACTGCTATGGCCATGGTTTCCCCTTCCGGGCACCTGCTTCCATGCCTCGCTACACATCTATGTTGGTAAAATATGGAGAAAGCTTTAATAAAGCTGGTGTGGGCACCGCAGGGCAAGTAAGATCCCAAGGGTCATGGAAAGATAGCTTCTCCTTCTTCCTCTGCAGGAAGTCCTCATCCCTGAGATGAAGTGGAGGAAAGTGTGCCCTGCCTCCAGGTCCCTGTCCCTCCCAGACAGCATCCCTTGTATCCCTCGGGCATCCATGGACTCCCCGGACAGCTTCTTCCCTTCCAGGAAACCTCGAGGGTCTGGTGAGTTCAGGGGCCTTGTCCATGGCAACAGCATGCAAAGACTAGGCTTCTCCTCATCCCACTTCTGTGAAAAGGGATCATCACTGCCAACAGGGCTTCTGAGAGCTGTTTCTTTCTTTCTCCAAACCCAAAAGGGAAAACCAAGAGTCCAGGCAGCTTCAGAGAATGGTAGGAGGTGGGCACGCACCATGTTGAGCTGGGGTCCTGCTGCCTCAGGAAGATGACTAACTGCTCTCTTATTGCAGAGAATGCTGTCCATGAGGAGGAGACGTTGGAGGAGGAGCCCAGGAGCAAGGAAGAGCTGAGGCTCTGGAATTACCGGCTCCTCAAGGTCTTCTTTGTGCTGTAGGTGACTGTATTGGGAGAGGGGGCAGACCCATCCAGGTGTCTGGGTGTTTGGAGCAGGGCCCTTGGTGTGTAGGGAGGTCACTGTACAGAGCAAGGGGAAGATTCTGAGTCAACTGCTAGCTCCTGGGTGGTGTCTGGAGGTCACATGGCAGGCAGGCATGCCCTTCTGTGGTGAGACAAAGTATCCCCAGTTTTTATTTTTAACTTAGGGTTAAGGCTGTACAATGGGGAGGGGTAGGACATGAAACTATTGAGAAAAGGAAAAGTTGCACAAGATTGGAGAGGGTTGACAAAATTGGGGAGGGCCATCAGATAGGCTAGGGGAAAGCCAAGGCCTTCCTGCTGCCCACCATTAGGGCAGTTTCTGGTACCCCAGACTGGTCTGTAACTCTGCTTGAGGACCAGAAGATAGTGAGCATGGTGGGATGTTTCATGAACAGCCAACCTTTGGCTTCCTCTCACTTTACCTCATCACCGTCCTCTGGCTCTGCTGACTGGTGGGGGCAATCTGTCTCCAGGGGAGGTACAGGACTAAGGTGGCCGGTCAGAGGGAAGGTGGCATCATCTGAAGAACCCCGAACTCCTCCTGGGCGTTGAGGACATCTCCACAGAGATGAGTCTCAGGACCCCCATGTGTCCTTTGGGGTGAAAGATGCCCAGGCTTGAACATGGCTGCAGGGCAAAGGGCTCTTCAATTCTTCCTATTGCGAAAGGAGCTTAGTCCCACTCACTCCTACTTTTGGTGAGCCTCTAAAAGTGCACTTTTTCTAGAAGAGAGATTCGACCCCTTTTGCCCTCTTTTCTCCAGGATCTGCTTCTTGGTCATGTCCTCATCCTATCTGGCATTCCGCATTTCCCGGCTGGAGCAGCAGTTATGCTCCCTCAACTGGGATGGCCCAGTCCCTGGGCACAGGTGATGCCCTTTCTCTTCCCAATGCCTCTGGGATTCAGGGCTAAGGACAGGGACCAAAACCTACATTTAGGCTGCTTGTTACCCTGGCTGGATTGGCCCTGCCCTTGACAAGCTGGTTTGATGGCCCCAAGTAAGGTTGGCAGAGTGTACAGGGTACAGAGATCCCACCCTGACCCACTTAATGGGGGGTGGGGGGAGGCCTCACTGACCTGTGTCTCTGCCTTCTAAGCCCTTTCTCTAATTTAGGCATCTCTCCTGTGTGCAGGTAACAGCCATTTGGTCTTTGTCCTCACTCCTCCAAGAAGATGCCTTGGGTGCTAAGGTTCCATCAACACTCCCCTTGGGTTTATGAAGCTGCTGCTGCTGTGCTGGGACTGATTATGAAGGAAAATATTCCAGATCCCTCTTCTTCCCCCAACTCTTCTCCCTCCTCCAATGAGTGATCTAAAGAACCTGTTTGCAAAGCTCCTACAACTTTTTGAACTCAGACAAAAAGCCAAATTTTTAGAACTAGCTGAGGAATTCTGTACATTAAGATTCAGCAACCACTTAAGTGGGGAAAAAATTTACCTTGTTCCTTAGAAACAGTTCTGGCACACAGGCAGAGCACTGGGGACCACCCCAAGGGACAAAGGCCATGCTCTGATACCTGGAATGCAGTTCTCTGACTGTCACATGGCTCACTCCAGTGGTGGGACAGAGGCCAGAACCCAAACTGCCAGTGTGGGCTCTGCTCTCTCCCCACATACTGACAGTCCCTGCTCAGGGACCCAAAGGATTTCTCTGTGGGGATCCAGGTACCTACCCATCAAGCCTAAGGAAGACTGGGGGGAGGTGGGGGCAAATTATGAAAGGGAAGAGGAGGGCTTGTGGCCAGGATTCCTTCAAGAAAGGAATATTTCTGCTCTGTGTTGAGACTGTTCTGGCCCCTCATGAGGAGGCTGAGAAGACAAGGCAGGAGCTGCAGACGGTGGCAGGGCCTGTGAAGGAGAACAGGGGCCTAGCATTCCATGTCCTGTTGCCATTTCCTGGTGAAACAGGTGGAGCAGGGCCTTTGATCATAGACTGGCACCGGATCTCCCCTGGGTGCATGCACACATTTCCAAGATGCCACAGGTGGAAAGTAGATATGACAAATGTGGTGGCCTTGATCTGCGGCATTGCTTTGTACTCTGCCTGAATGCCTGGATCTTGGGCAACAGTAGGCAACAGCAGCCTGTCGGAAGGCTTGGCTGGGTAGCTGGCCATGATGGTGTTGGGCCAGCATAGGGCAGAGCTCACTCATATCACCTGTAGCCATTCCATGGGCTCTTTTCTCCGGGAATAAAGTGGAGGTGTCCAAAGTGGGCCTGGCACAGTGCAGGGACCAAGCCAAGGGGGTCTGTCTGATACCTTTGGGGACAAGAGGGGATGGAAAGGGTAAACACAGTAGTGGCTTTGCCTTAGAGATTCCTCCTTCTCTGCCAAGGTCTTCTCTACTCTAAAAAGCTTGTTTGTGCCTCAGAACTCTGGGCTGCTCTCTCCAGGAGTCCCTTCTGCTAAGACAGTGACTTTGCAGGTTCTGTAAGGGCCTTAGTGAGGAGGTCAGCAGCATCAGGGAGTCACTGGTGATTGGGTGGGTAGTGTCGGAAATAGACACTGTTTTCCCCTTTTCAGACACCTGAGAGGTTAATCAGGTAGAAGTCTAAGTGGAAATTATTTATTACAGAACCATGCTTGTCTGCCGTGTTTATGACAAACCCAGATGAGGACTGGAGGGACCGGTGGGAGGTGAGAACTCCCTAAGCTCAGACTGGAGGCCTCGTCATTTTCTTCCCATGCCAAGCTGTAGGATTAAGTTTAGAGCTTGGCCTTGTGGGTTGCTTGTACCAAATCTGCATGTCTCAGGTGAAACTCACTGTTCTCTTTTCCCCACAGTACCACACTGGATGAATACCCATCTTTTTGGGGGGAACCAGTCTCCTTCATCACTGCTTTTCATCATATTTTTAGGAAAATAATCCTACTTGCCCTAGAGCTTCCCCTTCCTATTCCTTGCTAAAGGGTGGGTAGAATAGATCTATTCTCTGAGCCTTGCAAAGTTGAACCAGAGGCCATGAGAGATGCCAGGTCATGGGTGGGCTGGCCAAGGTGCTGATGAACACAGTCTCCAGCCATGCCCCAGGCTCAGAAAGGGCAAGAAGCATGCTATAGGGTAGGTGGCTTTGGAGGCCCTCTTAGGGCCTAGGGCTTTGAGTGGCATGGGTGTGCCTGTCCCTCTGGAGGCTCCTCTCTGTTTCTCCCATTTGTCCCCCATCCTGGTTCTCTGGGGCCAGTGTACCTTCTGTTTTGCTCATTTATAAACTATATATATTTATACAGACTTGCTTGCATTGGCCGATGTTCTTCTGATTCCCTGAGAGTTTGGTTCAGCTATCCTTGGGTTGTTTGACTATTGCATTAGCCTTTGAAAATATTTTTAAATAAAATAATTCTGATTTTTCTAGTGTTTTGCGATATGGAAAGTTAATTTTTATCTTCTGACTGCTCACTAAAGGTACTCTTACTGACATACCTGGCACCAAGAATAATGATAAAGCTCAAGTCATTCCCAGAATCCCAAGTATTCTGCAAATCTCATAGGACTTTAGCTGAGCTAACTCATACTTCAGGCATATGGCGAAGGGTAGGGTAAGAGTAAGCCACAGCAAACCACCACAGTCTCTGTCTCTGTTGGGGGGACACGGAGAATGCCTCCCCATTTTTCCTGGGAAACTCTAAAGCAATGTCAATGGTTTTAATACTACTGTGCTTTTTACTCAGGAATTAAAGTCTGGAACTCAGCACCAGAAAATTCCTGTGCCCTTTTCTATGACATGAAGCTTAGATTTGGCAGGTTCCAGTTTAGGCCATATCACCTTGCTTTCTCCCTAGATGCACCTCTAGTAAGGATTCATTCATTCAGTAAATATTGAGCCCAGACTATGTGCCAGGTACTATGCTGGGTCCTGGCTGTAGCAGGAACCGTGTTAGGCAATATCTTTGCATCTCCCTGGCACTTGCATTCCATGTAAAGGTAAGTTCCAAGTAAATAGTAAACAAACAAAGTAATTACAGATTGTGATTAAATTCCAGGAAGGAAAGGCACAGTGATATGAGATTAAGTAGAGAGATGGCTTTAGATGGGTGGCCAAGAAAAGTTCTTTGAAGGGACATTTAAGCTGGTTCTTAAAGGATGAGGAACCAGTCATGGGAGGAACTGGAAAAAGAGCATTCCTGGCAAATAGATAAGCAACTGCAAAAGGTGGGAAAGAGTGCATATGTCTCTCAGAAACAGACCGTCTGCATGTCTCTAGGATACTAACCAAGTGGGAGAGTGACATGAGAAGAGGTTGACGACCCTGGTAGGTATGGCTCAGTTGGGCACTGTCCTGTGCACTAGAAGGTTGCAGGTTCTATTCCCCGTCAGGGCACATGCCTGGATTGGGGGCTCAATCTCCAGCAGGGGCGTGCAGGAGGCAGCCAATCAACGTTTCTCTCTTTCTCTCCCTCTCGCTCCCTCTCGCTTTCCCTCTCTTTAAAAATCAATATATATATATA